TCTGGTCAGGATGAATTAGAATTGGTATGATTTTGTCTTGTCTAGATGCCTGAGCCTCATTTATAATTTTAATGTCTGTATTGATTTGAGAAAGCAGCTGACAGTCAGAGAGGCTGGCGTAATCTTTATTTAGTTTGGAAAGCAGGGTGATCATTGCTGTGTTCAAACTTGGTGAGACTGGTTTTAAAATCTGAGGTCATTCTTATGAGTAGTGGAGATGGAAATGAGCAGAAATGTTCGTAGAACTTCGCAGTGAAGCCATCAGGTAAAAATACTTTCATGTGTTTTTCTTTCTTTATTCATGTTTTCTCAGTTTGCATACAGTTTTTATTATTGCATTAAAACTTATGTTGTATTAGCAACTCAGTGACTCATTGAATGCTGTAAATTAGTGACTTTATCCATCTTAAGGTTTTGATTGGTTTAGTGGCTCCTTTTTAGAGATTTCTCTCAAAGAAAGAGAGGACCATATTACTGACTGGAATGTCTTAGGCTACGTTCACACTGCAGGCGAAAGCGCATCAAATCCGATTTTTTTGACCCTCTGTGACCCATCTATCCCATCATGGTCTGACAGTGTGGACGACACAAATCCGATATTTTCAAATCCGATCTGGGTCACTTTGGTATGTGGTGCTGAATCCGATACATATCTGGTGTTTTAGAAAGCGACTGCTGTTTGACGGTCAGGTCGCATTAAATCCGTCTTTTACGTCACCGACACAAGACAGACGCCAACTATCAGCGCCGGAGAAGCGCCCGAGAAGACATCGCGAACGCTTCCTGGCCATCCAGTGTAGATGTCAGTGAAACTGTTGGGAAGACAACGTTGGAGAAACGTGAACATTTTATTTGTACTGTATAATCTGCTGACAGAAATCTGCAGCTATCCTTTGAAGCACCGCTCCTCTAAAACAGCAACAAGGATCATTATTAGGTTATTTACATTATTATGTAAATAACAAAATAACTTAAAGCAAAAATTGGGAAACGTAAAGTCCGAATTCTTTATATTAAGGGACATCAGTCAAACAATGCTGTTTGTTCTGGGTCTAAACAGAGCGCGTCGTGTGTGACGTCTTCTTTTGCGCATGCGGGCCGCTTTGAGCGTTCACACTAGAGCACGTTTGCTGTCGCATTTTATTTGTAGTGTGAACGAGCAGACAAAAGAATCGGATTTGATCAAAAAATTGGAATTGAGCATTAAGACCTGCAGAGTGAATGTAGCCTCAGAGTCACTTTGTGTATCCTGATCCCACTTAATCCAGCTCCACCTGTCTATTTTGCTTAGCCTAATTTCTTCTGGTATGATTATTAGTATTTTGTTGCCAGAACATCCCAGTAAGACAAAAGAATCTGAAACCTTGCGATATTTTAAGATGGGTAAGTGAGCTCTATTGAGCACATGTTACACTGGTGGCCTCACACACCTCTCAACAGATGCTTAATTAAACTATGCTCTAATATTTGTTCCAAACTCTACCAAAACATTAAAAACAAACAGATTTTGTTGCTGACTAGTAAATTGCTTTTGACCACAGCAGTGATATAATTTCTTAGAGCTACTGTCATTGCAGAACTTGTGATTTTTAATTCGGATCTAATTGGCTGATAATTTAGCTGTTGTAATGTAAGAATTTGCTCTCTAAAGATGATCAGCAAACCCCAGTGGGACTGAGACCTTAATATCTCAGAATACTGAACATTATGATCAATGCAACACCTACAGGGCATGAAACTGTGGCATGCTATATATAATAGCTGTGTAACTCTGATGCAATGAATCCTCATCTGGAAAGGAACTGGCAATAAGGTTATTAGTCAGCTGGTGCATAGCAGCACAGAGCAGTGCCCTCTGGTGTTGGGAAGCACAGCACAAAGAAGAATGAGTCACAAAGAGTCAGAGCTCTGTTGTGCTTTTAACCTTCACTGGTAACGACTTCATCAGTTTCTTCACAAATAGAATTTTAACTGTTAGAAAAAACAATACTCATAACTGTCTCACAGAAATTACATTATGTACAGCTATTTTCAGTATCATTGATACTGGGAGGTCTCCTTCCAAATCTAGAGCGGGGCATCACTGAGCTGCTGGACAATCTAAGGTGCAACCTAGCAGTGTTGGGTGGACCAAAAGATAATATCCCAGAAGGGTTTAGGTCAGAAGAGCATGGTGGCCTGTCAATGGTATTAATTCCTTATCCTCCAGGAACTGCCTGCATAGAGGCATTTGAGGTATTGTCATGCACCAGGAGGAATCTAGAACTGACTCCACTGGTGGAGCTCTGAGATTGCCCATCCTGTTCTTCCTTGCACAGAGAATCTCCTCCATGCTCTTGAGACTGTGCTGGCAGACATGGAGGGGCTGAACTTCCTGTCCAACCTTTGTAGAGTCCATGTATTGCCTGTGTCAGTATTGCCAAAAAAAAAGAAGGAAAAAATAGAATAGCCATGTTATTGCACACGTACAGCAAAATTGTGGATTCACCTCACAAACTGTGGATGGAATACAAATATAAATAGCTGAACAGCAAGAATAAATTTCAGAGAAGAGTAGTATGTACAACAAGTGGAATACATACATCAGGAAGACGTCTATCCCAGAAGCCTATCCCAGCTAATAGGGCGAGAGGCAGGTCGCCGATCTGTAGCAGGGCCAACACAGACAACCCATTCACACCTATGAACCTCTTTCTAAAAAAAATATTAATGTAGGGCAGATGAACATCCATTGATATCAGGTAACTATAAAAGATATATGGCAAAGTAACTTTGTAATTAAGATGAATTTAGTAGACACAATTACGATATCAGGCAATAAAAGAGTGTAGGTAGATTTCTTCTACATATTCGTATGCATCAGACAAGTGGACTGGACTGGTTCTTATATAGCGCTTTTCTACTCTTCTGAGCACTCAAAGCGCCTTACACAACTTGTGCATTCACCCATTCGCACATTTTTCTAGGTGCTTTCTAGGTAACATTCACACACACTCATACTCTGATGGATGCATCAGAGAGCAATTTGGGGTTAGTATCTTGCTCAAGGATATTTGGCATGCAGACTGGAGGAAGCCAGGAATTGAATCACCAGCCTTCCAATCAGTAGATGACCCGCTCTACCACCTGAGCTACAGCCACCCCAACAAGTCAATATGCAACTCAAATGCTGCTGATTAATGCAATGGTTCAAATAAGTAAAAAGAAAACTGGGGCACCATCGGGAAAGGGGTCAGTGTTCAAGCCCCTTCCACCCCCACCCTCTGCACGTGTCTGGACAAATGTATGACAGACACACACATCATCGAAAACTAAACACATTTTCTATATAAATTCAGTTAATTTTGGTTAGTTTTGTGAAAGCTCATTCTAGTTTTAGTTAGATTTCCTTTTTTTTTTTTTTTACAAAGTCTTGTTTTTTATTTTTATTTCTACATCCATCATCCATCCAACAAAAATGCTTTTTTACTTCTAGTGTTTGTTATTTGGTTAGTTTTTGTTAACGATAACAACCTTGCATTGGACTAGGTCTAAGTAGAGTCCTTCTGTGAGTGGCCTGATCCAGGAGCAGGTGGAAGGGGGGATTTGAAGGAGGCCCAGTTTGGTGATGAGGATGTTTGGGATTGGGTTGCTGAACGCTAAGCTGTAGTCCACGGAGAGCATCCTCATGTAGATCTTCCTGTTCTCAAGATGGCTCAGCTCTCTGTGAAGGGTGATAGTAATGGCATCCTCTGTGGACTGATTTGCTTCTTCAGCAAACTGGTGGGGGTTGAACGAGGAGGGAGGCAGGCAGTCTCTGGTGTGCTGAGAAACACTTCATGACTACAGACATGAGAGCTATAGGTCTGTAGTCACTGAGGCTGTCTATTCCAGTGTTTGGGGGATGGGAATGATGGTGCAGTGCAGGCCCTCAGACAAGTAGGAACAGTGGCACGATTCAGGGAGAGGTTGGACAGCCTGATGATGAAAACCCATGTCAGTGATCTCCTCCTGTAAAACAGGTGTAATCAGGAGGAATGCGATTAGAAATGAGTATATCAGAGGTAAAGTTCAAACTGAGCAGTTTGGAGACAAAGAGAGGCAAAGATGGAATATCTTGGAATGAGAACAAAAAGATCCAAGAGGGAAAATTGTAGATTTACACAAGATGAGGAGGTTCGCCTTGACCTATTTCCAAACAGCTGCAGATTGCAAACTTAAAAAATCTTTTTGTTGATGTTGAATAACTGTTGAATGGCAGTCTATAAATCACATCAATAACTTAAGCCAGCCTAGATCTCAGCTTGAAGTACTTTTTGAACTTTCTAGCAAGAAAGAAAATTAGATGTGACAGGAGTGACTCAAACGGACAAACTCTTGCTCTGGGGCCCAGCTCTGTTTCACTCACCCAGAGCATCACAGGGCAGTGGTGGTTGTAACACTATGAGAAAGAAAATGACTGCTTTCTATCTTACCCGCTATTCCCAAAATATTAACAATAGAACCACCAGTAGTCCATGATAAAGTGACTGGATTGCTCATCCGCCAGCTTTTGCCACATTAGCACTCAAGGGCATGTCGTCTACTGCCTACCGAGCAACGCTATTAAAGGACACACCTTTGGCTAAGCAATTTGTATGTGCATGAGTTCTGCTGTGACACAACTATGATGACTCATCAGCCTGACGACCTTGCAGACAGCCATCTGCAGCTGATGGAGCAGAGGTCAACTGACAGGACTCACTATGCCGTCTGTCATGTGTTGTAGAAGTCACATGACTGTGGGTATATGCGAAAATACATGGATTATCACCCTCAGCACCACTTACTGAACAGATAGCTGAGTACTTTCTAATCACTTTACAAGGCTTTGAGTGCTCAGGTAGAGTAGAAAAGCCCTATATAAGAACTATATAAGTCCATTTACCATTTCAATGAGCTAGTTTGTTTTTAAACTATGTCTTAAAGCCTTTCTGGCATAGATTAACACTGTGTCTTTGTGCTTGTCTGTGTCTCTATAGCACTGCGGCCAGTGGACAGTAAGCTTTGTCTGGGTATTCCTCCAAACACCACCCAACTCTGCCACATAAGCTGTCCTGTTGATTGTGAGGTATCTTCGTGGAGCACGTGGGGACCCTGCACGTATGAAAATTGTCAAGACCAGGTAGCCAAGAAAGGTAAGAGATACTGTTAGGGTTACAATAGTATATTGTGTCATAAAGTGACTAATCAAAGGAGTTCTGTAGGGTTTACTTTCCTGAAATCTCCCTTTAAAAATTGCATACCCCTTCATCTGCCCTACGGTTGTTATTGTGCCCCAATAAAACAAATAAGCCAACACAATTTGCAGTGCATTGACTTTTACCCAGATTTACAATGTACAAAACATTCTACCTTCATATTCTGTAGTATTTTACTGTGTTTTTGATTGTGTATTACAAATGTTAAACTTGATGTTGACAATAAAGTCAAAATCAATTACAGAAGGCATACAGTTGGAATGGGTCTCTGACTGCTGTCGTGGGGATGTTAGTCCATCAGTAGAGTTGACACAGTCACTGCTTCATCTCTAGTTATCCCTGGAACAGCAGTGTCCACCATGACTCTGCCTTAATGAAGAACATCGAATTAAAAGGATGACTAGAAATTGTTGAAATGGATCCTTCTGGCTTTATTTTCTATTATCGTGTGTCACTGTCAGTCCATTCCCTCCCTGAAGTGCACAGTATAACCTGTGCACTTCAGAAATTATCTGGCAACTTCAATTTGCAGTCACGTCATCAATAAACATTAGTGAGTTGGTTTCACATGTCCATGCCATGTGGTATTTTTTGAATCATGAGGCGTTCCTTTCCTTATCTTTGCTTTTCTCTTCCTTCTTCTTGTGATTCAATTTAATCTTGTTTTCATATGTTTTTATTTGTGTTTTGTTTGTTTGTTTTCAGAACTATTTTTTTCAGAACTGTTTTCTCTTAACATCTAATCTTGTGTTCCTGTTGTTGGGTTTTACCAGGGGTGCGAAATTTTACTGTAAAGCCAATGATTTTCCTTCATGAAGGCATTTCATTCAGAAAGGTGTGTCTTGATTGTAGATTTGAAAAATGACCTCATTAAGAGTGTTCTTAACCAAGGAAAGTATTTTGTGATCAGCCACTTTATTCGTCTCCTGTGTCCTTCCAATGTCACTGAGCTGGATAAAGAATACATCAAATTGCTGACTTGGCCACTCCTAAAGTATTTTCTATCTCTCATAGGTTTATTTCAATTTTTCATGAATGACTTGCATCAAGATCTCTTTGGACCTCATGTTGACATTTCCAGTGAACAGCCACTAAATAGTTCAACACTTGAATTGAACTTCAGGTCATTTGTGACTGACTAAATGACTGAATAAAGAAACTGCTTTTCAGTCAGTTTTGAATGTTGGACGTCTGAAAATATGGGACTATGTATAAAAGTGCATCTAAGGAATTTTGTTAAACCTTTTAAAACTGAAAGTCTTCACTGCACACACATCTTTTCCCAGTAAAATCTACCGGGGTACAGTACAGTGTCAAAACAGTAAAAAAAAAAGTGTCAGATTTATATCAAAGTAAGTGTTCAACAGCAAACTGAGCACTTGTTTTCTATGTCACATTTCACTTTCTGAATTCCACAAGAGGGAGGTTGCCATCATGTTTTACTATATAGACAGCCTGTGACATCCTTGACCAAGTCCCAAGCTATGTGTCCTCAATTTATGCAGTCAGCAGTGTTCAAGAATAAGACATGTGACCTGGATAAAACTGCAGTGCTATCATCTTAATTAATGTTAATTAGCCACAGCTGACTGAATTTAGTAGATGACAGTTGCCTTTTCAAAATGTGAAATGGTTTTAGGACACAATGAATAATGCAAAATTAAAAATAAACAGGGCCAAAATCTTCATGTCAAAACAAAGATTCATAACCTATCACATAGCCTTCACTCCTGCCTTTCAGTTATTGCATCCATGATACACTCTGCAGATAGCAAGTCAGTGATGACTGAGAGTATAGCATTCAGTCCTCATCTTCGTTTATACAACCCTAATCCCCACCTCAACTCTTGCCGATCAAAAAATTTCCCAAATTAATTTTTCTCTTCAGGCATTAGTCATGTGCAACATATAACAGACAATCAATGCAGGACTACATAAACTGCAAGTGTGCAAAAATTGCAAAAGAAACAGAACAATACAGGCACAAGACAGCACAGACACAAACATGCAATAGAAAAGCGCAACAATGACAGTAGGTTGTGCAGAAAGTAACTTGATATATGGAGGTGTGTGTGTGTGTGTGTTAGTCCAGTGTATTCAGGAGTCTGGCGGCTTGGGCGAAGAAACTGTTTCGCGGTCTGGCAGTGAGCGCCTGGTACCTGCCAGAAGGCAGCAGATTGAAGCTTGTGTGTGAGGGGTTTTCCACAATGCTGGTGGCTTTGTGGAAGTAGCGGGTGTGATGGATATATGCATTGCATTATTCATCATGCAAAGTTCTTTGAATCTTTGTTAATTTAACTCCTAATCCATCCAATTTTATTTATAAAACACTTTAAAATACCAGGCACAGGACAAAAGTGCCGTACAGAAAATAGGTCAAAAACAATAGAATAACAGAAAACAGCAAATATAAATAAATAAAACACACAATACATAAAAATTAAAACAGCCCTATATTAAAAAAACAAGATAAAACCGCATAGAATCAACTAAAAACAACGAAAATAAAACTAAAAATCTCTAAAGGGAGACCGTTCCACAGTTTTGGAGCTGCTCCAGCAAAAGCATGATCTCAGTCACTTGTGCTACATGTAACAATGGACTGTTAAAAGCAATATTTCAATAAAAAACATCTGGTGAAAAAATATGCTACAGTTGTACACAAGCTTACACACAGGGGTAGCCATAGTTTATTAGTTTGAGATCATGTAGCTCATTAGATTTCTGTTGTTCCCCCAAAGGCTTTAAATTGAGGAAGAGGAGAATCATCAATGAACCAACAGGTGGGACAGGAAACTGCCCCCACCTGGTGGAGGCCATACCATGTGAAGACCCGAGCTGCTACGACTGGCTGGTGGTTAAACTGGAGGACTGTATCCCAGATAATGAGGAGAAGTGTGGACCAGGAATCCAGATCCCTCAGGTCCAGTGTGTCAATAGTGACGGTGAGTATATGTGAACATATTTATCCTAGTCCGAGCTTTAGGAGTAGCTGGTCTCTGAAGTGCTTGGAGATTGCCTTTAAGTTTTGGTTCCAAGCAAAAGCTACTGTGGTGTTTTGACACTTTCCATAAATTATCTATCACTCTGCTAGCAAAACATCCCCAGGGTACTATCTTCATACTGTAGAAAACTCAAAACACTGATGATTTTCTGTAGTCAGGTCTCTCTGAGTAGACAGAAGATAATGCTTACAGAAGGTATAATTCACACAGAGTCACGTGACAATTATGCTTAAAATTGTCTACTTTAAAAATACTTTATGTAATTTTGGCACACTATGTGCCATCACCACAGAAACAGTGCCAGTGGAAAGTCAGGGGCATTTCTCCACTGTCACTGAGTTTTCCTGTTGCCCTCTGTGCAGGTATGGATGACAGATGACCTGCGGTCCCACTCGCACTGGCTTTATCACACAGTTGTCTTTCAGTTGGCACTGACATTTCACACTAGGCATGTCACACAGATAGAAGCACAATAAGGAGTAAGATGTGAGCATGAGTGAATTTTATCTTGATAATGGAAAATTGGACAGTGGCTTATAAATTTGTTGATAGACATCCACTCATCATGATGCACGTGCCTTTAAAGCTGCTGTGAAAGCTCGCCTAAGGGTGGGTGATAATGTGTTATGTACATCATACTTTAGGAGGCTGTGTGGCACCTGTGCTGGGATGTTTCTTACACCTTTTAGGATGATTATTTATTTCTAAGTAGTCCATCGATGATTTTATCGTAGTCTGCCATCCCATTCACATCTCTGTGTGTTTTTCACAATCAAAAGATAGCATCATTTTAGAAATGCATATGTTTAAAGTAAAAGTCTCAGTGGTTTAGAATTGTTTGGCAATGAGACACACTACATCGATGATGTAAATGAATCATTTTTTTAGGTTGTAGTCAGTGTGATGTAGGTCAGTCTTTTCACTTTGACTGATGCAGAGATTCTTGTCATCTATCCTGGTTAATCTCAATATGCTCCTTGCCCAACACTGTATTTACTGTATTTAATGTAGATTTCCCTATTGTTTGTGCTGTTATGACCAATTTCATCATGTTCTAGTGTGAGTGTATAGCTACTTTGCCTCAGGGATTTTCCTCTCACTTACACAGACATAAGGATTCAATGATTCAAGGAGCTTTCTTGTCATTTGCATCACATGTTTACATGAGGTGAACAAAATTATGTACACACGGTCCCGGAGCGAAAAGAAAAAAGAAAGAGAATAATGAAGAAACAGAATTATTTTTTCAAAAGTAATAAATAAATAGTTTTGGGGGGGGGGGTTAAGAAAACAGAATAACAAGTAATAAAATAATACGATAAATAGAGTGCAACAACCTGAGTACCAGTATGGAGTTTGGATATAGAATGTAGGTATAACTACTTTAGCAGCAAAAGGCCTTGATGACCAGCAGTGATAAAGTGATGGTGTCAGTAAGTGTCAGTAGTGGTTAAGGTGCTGCAATATCAGTTTTTCTCCATTTATACATTGAGAAGTCTCACAGCTTTTGGAATTAAGCTGCTTCTCAGTCTGGTAGTTTTGCAGTTTTGCATTTTATGCTCGTCAGCTTCTTGCCTGAGGAGGCAGAATCTTGGGATTCTGAGTTTGTGGTCTATCGTTGTTGTAGTCGAACTGTGTCATGGTCCTGGGTTGTTAGACTCAGTGTTTTGTGTTTATTATCGGTGGCATCTTATGTTTCGGGTTAATTCTTGTTTTCTTAGTTCTTCGGGTTTTGGTTTTGGTGTTTAGTGTTTTATTGTTCCTACCTGTGTTCTTCTCCCCTGTGCTCTGTTCATGTCCCGGAGTTTGTGGTGCAAAACAGTTTGTGAGTTTCCTGTTTTACTTTGAAAGTCTGTGTCTCGTTATGCCATTAGTTTCAGCTGTCTCCACCCCTGCGTGTCATTTCCTCATTACCTGGTGTGTATTTATAGTGTGTGTTTGCCTCTGTTTGTCCTTGCACTGTCTGTGTAACTTGGTGAATATCTGTGTCTCTCTGCGCTTCATTCTCCACTCCTCATCCCCTATGTCACCTCCTTATGTTTTTTTCCTGCATGTTGTTCTGTGAGTTATGGTTTCGGGTTTTGTTTGTTACTAGTTAAATACAAAATGCTGTTTCTAAAAGAAGGTGTTTATTATTAAGGGGATGACATGACCCTGTGTGAAAAAGGGATTGCCCCTAAATCTAATTTCACTACCTGGGCCCATGTCCTGTATGTTTTAGGTTTGACAGTGTTTTTAGTAGATAAAGGTGAATGGCTTAAACATGAATTGAGCTCTGGTTTGGGGAAGGCCTCGGAGGGTACTGATAGCAGCTCCTACAGATAAGAACCGGAAGGGGTGTGTTTGTAGGCATGGTCCCGAACCTGAAATACAGATATTTTATCTCCAAAACTGGTTTGGCCACCCTTAGCAGCAACAACTCCAGTCAAGATTTGCAATAACTGGCAATGAATCTTTTACAGCGCTGTGGATGAATTCCCACTCGTCTTTGCAGAATTGGTGTAATTCAGCCATGTTGGAGGGTTGAGCATGAATCGCTCATCCCAGAGCATCTCAGTCAGATTCAGGTCAGGACTTTGACTAAGTCACTCCTGAGTCTTCATTTTGTTTTTCTTTAGCCATTCAGAGGTGGACTTGCAGGTGTGTTTTGGATCAGAACCCAAGTGTGCTTCAGCTTGTAGTCACAAACACATGGCTGGACATTCTCTTTCCATAGACAGTAGAATTTATGGTTCCATTACCACAGAAAGTGTACCAGGCAGTGAAACAGCCTCAGACCATCACATTATCACCACCATATTTTACTGTTGGTATGATGCTCCGTTTCTGAAATGCTGTGTTGCTTTTACACCAGATGTAACGGGACACGAACCTTTCAAAAAGTTTGACTTTTGTCTCATCAGTCCAAAGAGTATTTTCCCAAAAGACTTAGGGATTGTCAAGATCTTTTCTGGTAAAACTGAGACGAGCCTTTTTGTTCTTTTTACTCAGCAGTGTTTTTCGTCTTGGAACTCGCCATGCAGGCTGTTGATGCCCAGTCTCTTTCTTATGGTGGAGTTATGAACACTGACCTTAACTGAGGCAAGTGAGGCTTGCAGTCCTTTGGATGTTGTTCTGTGGTCTTTTGTGACCTCTTGAATGAGTCATCGCTACTCTCTTGGGCTAAATTTGATCGGCCGGCAATTCCAGGGAAAGTTCGCCACTTTTGCCATGACTCTCCTCTGTGGTTCTCTGGAGTCTTACAGCTTTAGAACATAGCATTACAATCTTTTAAACACACACATAGAGAAAGAGATAGTATAAACAGAGCAAGTTGCTGTAGAACAAAACAAATTTAAAAGTCAAAACTGTAGAATTAAAGGGTGGATGGACAAGCAGAAGAAGAAGGCCTTAGTGTCCTGCACAGCCAATACTGGCTAACTCTGGAGGCTGAGGCTGGGGCCTGACCGCCCTCAGCCTTGAAACTGGAATATATGTAGTGTGCTTAGTCTCTGCTCATGTTCAATCTCTAGTGGATAGGGAATCACTCTCTGGCTTGGGCCCAGTGTTGGCTTATCCAGGCAGCCCTTGTCCTAGCCATAGGAATCGGGTGCGGTCCCGATGTTGACTGATCCAGGTGGAAAGACTGATGATGTGCTGGGTGGTGACTGCTGCTGTTGCAGTGTCAAGGCATTTGTGCCGAGCTGCTGCAGCGACAAGGCTTGGGTGTAGGACTGCCAGTGCTGCAACAATGACGATGGGCATCGACAAGGCCCACACTTCCACTTTAAGGACAGCACAGTCTCAGGCAGGTAGCTAGCAATCGCTGTGACAAGTGGGTGGCTTGCTGCCTGTGTGCTAAACCCACCAACTCTAATTATAGGTGAGGAGTGGTGATGTGCACCAGGCAGTTGGGAGACATGGCGTACCCCACCACCACACTTTCCATTGGGGGACTTATGGTCAGGCGAGTCCTCCGCAGAAACACTCATGCTATGTGATGAACTATTTGCCGCTCGTAAAATTCCTTGTCTGCTCGGTCCTTTATCTGGTTGTGTTATTCTGTTATGGCAGGGGTCCCCAATCCCAGTCCACGAGGGCCGGTGTCCCTGCAGGTCTTATGTGCACCCCTGATTATACACAGGCTGGAGATGAACCAGGGGAGGGAGAGGTGATGAGCTGTATGCCTCCTTGGTGTTGGCTAGGGATGGGTACCGGTGTCCGGTGCCATGATGGCACCGGTTCTGACATAAACGGTAGTAACCAGACCGAAAAGCAGCGCACATTTCGGTGCTTTACTTCGGTGCTTTTTTCTCCTGAGCTGTGATACACTTCTAGCCAATCATTTTACGTTTCCGAGGATAGTAGGCGGGGCTAGGTACGTACGTTCTGTTAGAGCAGAGCTCCAGATTAAAAATGTCCAAGGCGAAGCGGTCAAAAGTCTGGCTGTACTTCACAGCAAAATATGCAAACTCAGCAGCAACAAGTGCTTTAAGCTGATACTGTGATACTGTCAAAGGAGGTAACACCAAGAATCCGATTAAACAGCTGGCGACGCATAGCGTTTTTTTTAAAAGCCGAGAAATGCGCAGTATTTTATAGCTTGCTGCGAGACCTCACACCGTGCACGTCGGGTGGGTTTGCCAGTTATCGGACCCGGAGCAACATCCCCCAAAAACCCAAAGAGTAGAGTCCTGGCCCCTAGCCCTGCCAGTGTAGCAGAAATGATGAGGATGATGATGCAGCAGCCATTCTTCTCTGCGTGAGTAGGTTAATGTTGTTCATGTGTAATTTACGTTGAGTAGGCTAACCACGTTATTACATAAATGCATGTCAGGTGAACTAGCAAACATCATCATAGCTACATGCTGCTGTCTTCTTGTTTGATGGCAGATGCTCCCTTCACCCTGGCCAAAAAGGCTAAAATGACCAAAGAAAAAGTGGGAAACAGTTAAACATGAGAGGTTTTTGGACAAAGTTTGTGTTTTTTCCATTGTTTAAGCACTGCTTCCAGCCAAGAGTGATACCATATATGCCCCATAGCTGCAGAAAAGGCTAACATTGTTATCTTTTTACAAAAAACAAACAAACAGCTGAATATGAGAGGTTTTTGGACAAAGTTTGTGTTCTCCATTCTTTAAGCACCGGTTCGAGCACCGTTTAAGCACCGGCACCGTTTCAAAAGTACCGATTTGGCACCGGTATCGGATAAAACCTAAACGATACCCATCCCTAGTGTTGGCATACAATAAGTCCAATGTTTTATTGTCTCTGGTGTGGCAGGTGACGTACTGGGTGAAGGTGGGGAGAGGGAGATGTGATTTAAGCCTCCAGAGAGCAGAAAAAGGGCCTGAGGGTGCTGTGTATGGAGTCTGCTGGTTACAGTGTGCAGGACCTCACAGGCTGCTGCAGCGTTAGCAGAGGGCGGGGCATGCACAGCTATCATAATGACGTGTGGAAACTCTCGCTGTAGATAGTACGATCTCATGCTAACTAGCAGCTCAATGTCCTTACAGCTTAATAATAATAAATCATAATAATACATTTTATTTGGTCACCTTACAAAGAACAAAATTAATAAAAGCAGCAATAGTCATAAAATACATAAAATAAGTTAAAATGGCAAAACAGAGCTTGACAACAGATAAAATCAGCATTAAAGCGAATAAGCCAGTTTAAACAGATGTGTTTTGAGCTGTGACTTAAATATGGAAAGGGAGTCAATATTTCTTATGGCTGGAGGAAGAGAGTTCCAGAGCCGAGGAGCAGAGCGACTGAAAGCTCTGTTCCCCATAGCAACAAGGCGTGAGGATGGAACAGTAAGATGAATAGCAGATGATGATCTGAGAGGGCGGGAAACAGTGAGCAGGTCACACAAATATGAAGGAGCAGATTTATGGATACACAAGTAAGATTTTAAAATGTATCCTGGCTTCTACGGGCAACCAGTGAAGCTGCTGAAGAACTGGGGTAATATGAGCTCTTAACGGAGTGCAAGTTATGACCTGAGCTGCAGAATTTTGAAGAAGTTGGAGTTTATGAAGGGACCTTTTAGGGAAACCAAATAGGAGGTCAGCTTAGCGTCTCTTTGATAGATAAATGCCCAGCGTTACATCATCTATCGTTCACAAACACAGCCAGGCCCCCTCCTCTCTTCATACCACTCTCCGTTGTTCTGTCGGCCCGGATCAGATGGAATGTCCGGAGTTAGCGCGGTTAGTCACGACTCTGTGAAGCACATCACGCTGCACTCCCTGTAGCTCCTCTGATGTCGGGTTAGAGCTGGCAGTTCATCCACTTTATTGGGGAGAGATCTCACTTTCCCCATAATACCCGATGGAATCACTGGCCGGTACCTCCTAACCTTACTGCGATGCTTGATCCCCGCCCGAGTGCCGCGTCTCTTCCTCCTCACCTCGCGGGGGATGTTGGCTCGCTCGGCTGTAGGCAGAACAGTGGAGACCCCGAGGGCTAACACCTCCACGCACTCTCCGGACACAGATGCCGTAAAAAATATGATAAAAAACACAATTGTCCATAAAATTCAGAGGTCGAATGTGGAGTAGTACAGTCCACAATATAAAAACAAGAACACGAAACAACAAAGAAAGAAACAAAGAAAGAGAAAAAAGGACTCTGTCAGGCCGGAGCTACTAATACTGGCTGCCAGCTCGGAGTGGCGCCAGAAATTATCTATTGTTGCTGTTTATTTCAGTTTTTTAATTTAAGGCAATAAAACTGTGATGGAAAAGAATTTACAATGTTGGTCATTAGTTACAGTGGGGCAAAAAAGTATTTAGTCAGCCACCGATTGTGCAAGTTCCCCCACTTAAAATGATGACAGAGGTCAGTAATTTGCACCAGAGGTACACTTCAACTGTGAGAGACAGAATGTGAAAAAAAAAATCCATGAATTCACATGGTAGGATTTGTAAAGAATTTATTCGTAAATTAGGGTGGAAAATAAGTATTTGGTCACCTCAAACAAGGAAAAACTCTGGCTCTCACAGACCTGTAACGTCTTCTGTAAGAAGCTTTTCTGTCCCCCACTCGTTACCTGTATGAATGGCACCTGTTTGAACTCATCATCTGTATAAAAGACACCTGTCCACAGCCTCAAACAGTCAGACTCCAAACTCCGCCATGGCCGAGACCAAAGAGCTTTCGAAGGACACCAGGAAAAGTATTGTAGACCTGCACCAGACTGGGAAGAGTGAATCTACAATAGGCAAGCAGCTTGGTGTGAAAAAATCAACTGTGGGAGCAATCATCAGAAAATGGAAGACATACAAGACCACTGATAATCTCCCTCGATCTGGGGCTCCACGCAAGATCTCATCCCGTGGGGTCAAAATGATCATTAGAACGGTGAGCAAAGATCCCAGAACCACACGGGGGGACCTGGTGAATGACCTGCAGAGAGCTGGGACCAAAGTAACAAAGGTCACCTTCAGTAACACACTACAACGGCAGGGAATCAAATCCCGCAGTGCCAGACGTGTTCCGCTGCTGAAGCCAGTGCATGTCCAGGCCCGTCTGAAGTTTGCCAGAGAGCACATGGATGATACAGCAGAGGATTGGGAGAATGTCATGTGGTCAGATGAAACCAAAGTAGAACTTTTTGGTATAAACTCAACTCGTCGTGTTTGGAGGAAGAAGAATACTGAGTTGCATCCCAAGAACACCATACCTACTGTGAAGCATGGGGGTGGAAACATCATGCTATGGGGCTGTTTTTCTGCCAAGGGGACAGGACGACTGATCCGTGTTAAGGACAGAATGAATGGGGCCATGTATCGTGAGATTTTGAGCCAAAACCTCCTTCCATCAGTGAGAACTCTGAAGATAAAACGAGGCTGGGTCTTCCAACATGACAATGATCCAAAACACACCGCCCGGGCAACAAAGGAGTGGCTCCGTAAGAAGCATTTGAAAGTCCTGGAGTGGCCTAGCCAGTCTCCAGACCTCAACCCCATAGAAAATCTGTGGCGGGAGTTGAAAGTCCGTGTTGCTCGGCGACAGCCCCAAAACATCACTGCTCTCGAGAAGATCTGCATGGAGGAATGGGCCAAAATACCAGCTACTGTGTGCAAACCTGGTAAAGACCTATAGTAAACGTTTGACCTCTGTTATTGCCAACAAAGGTTATGTTACAAAGTATTGAGTTGTATTTTTGTTATTGACCAAATACTTATTTTCCACCCTGATTTACGAATAAATTCTTTACAAATCCTACCATGTGGATTCATGGATTTTTTTTTCACATTCTGTCTCTCACAGTTGAAGTGTACCTCTGGTGCAAATTACTGACCTCTGTCATCATTTTAGGTGGGGGAACTTGCACAATCGGTGGCTGACTAAATACTTTTTTGCCCCACTGTACATTAGTTACCATATTAGAAAGTGCAATTTTTCCTTCAGTCATTTTGGCAGTCCCACCAAGAAAAGCAACATTTCACGCTCACAGCCTTTATTTTAAAGTGACTTTTTGAAGGAAATTTGATGTTGCTTTCTTAGCCCTGTTTAATTTAATGAATGTTATTATTATCTTTTAACTTTATAACACATTTTAAATTTGGCACAGTACCTTAATTCTCTTTGTATTCACCCAGGTGAACATGTGGATCGAAAACTCTGCCAGGATGCCATCCTTCCTATGCCATTTATCTGCGAGGTGCCTTGCCCTAAGGACTGTGCCTTGAGCCCCTGGAGCTCCTGGTCTCTCTGCTCCCACACCTGCTCTGGAAAGAACACAGAGGGCAAACAGACCAGAACTCGTTCCATCCTCGCCTATAATGCAGGAGAAGGTAGGAACTGTATAAGGAGAGCAAAGCAGCATTGCAGCACTCATGAAGTTACAGTATAGGTAAAGGTAATTCTATTAAAAATGAATATGTGCCTCTCACCTGAGCTCCTCTGTGTACACTGGGTCTTTCAGCAATGACATCAGCATATTTAATCAATGCAAATGTTTAACTTAATAGTACAGAAGTCCAATTTACACCTTTAAGAATACAGGGGTAGGTTGAAATTGGATGCTTAATAATAAGTCTTATTTTTACAGCATGTTTTTCATTTTCCATTAAGGACAAGAGAAAGCAATGTGAAATTTAACATTTGAACATAATTGAACGACATTTGAAAACGTTTAACCAAATCAACTTTAAACATAATCTAAATGTCAATCTAAATATCGCATCAAGTGAAAATCTTGATGGAGGCTTTTATTTTCAACATCAAGGATTATTGATGTAAAGTTTTAAAGGGTTATTCAGCAAATTTATTCACATATGCTTTTACCATTGTTTCTACAATAAGTTGTCTTATGGCACATATGCTTTGTGATCATAAATTTCTCACGTATTCAGATCCATCATGTTTTGGGTTTATCAAGACTACGTATTCTGCCCACAACATCAGCAACAAGTCCAAGTTAAACTTGCAAACCACGTCTTTGTACAGACTGTATACACATAAAGTGCTCACTTACCTAGCATTATCATTTCCGTGATTTCACTAAAGAAATCAAGGACACATACACACTATGTGTATATACACATACAGTGATGAAATATTGCGCAAATGTAATAGTCGTACACATCTTTTGAAAACTATAAACCCGATTATGGTGCAGTTTGTTTCGTTAAAGTGACTGTATTTTAAATTTGTGTCTTTGCACGTACTTCCGTTTGGATAACAATTTTTCATTGACCATTAATCATCCCAAATCTCAGCTGCATGTCACTGGATATGGATGACATATGCATGGGCCAGATGCTGACTTGTTGACAAGTGGGTCAGAATAGGGAACGAAGCAACTGTGGAGTTTACCAGGAACAGAAGAAGAGAGAAAAAATACAGCATGAAAACCACGGATCACTTTTCATTGTTTTAAACACTCAGTTTTGTTGGTTAGCCCACTACCTTCCATCATATTCTGGGCACCTTCTGCTGGCTTTGTCTTGGCCGGTGATTGTTTTCAGACCCCTCCAGAATGTCCTTGCATTATTCCCTTAAGCCACTCCTCCAATTTTCTCTTGTAGGTGTCACTTCCTTTCTCTTTGTCTAGCACATTCACTGTTTTTGGCAGCTTGGGGATGGCCTGCCTGCCTCCATAGAGCCGTATTGCCACAGTGAGGCAGTGTTCAAAATATTTGGTACAGCGAGTCTGTGGGCCACTCTTTCGTGTGCTGCTGTTGGCCCATCGCCAGCTGCAGATAAGTTATAACTTACAAAGACCTGAAGTGAAAAAGAGTGTTAAAAACAATGAAAGTATCAACTGTCACTTCCTTCACTTTCCTTATTGCTGCCCACCTGTCAACCAGTCAGCATCTTCCAAGATGAAAATCTGACCCGAAGTGGCATTCCAGTAGAAATTTCTTCCTTTTGCCAGTCTCCTTTGCTTTTTGAGTCCAGAACGAATTAATTCACCCACTTCTCTGAGAAGCACAACACAGCAAAATCTCCAGTGTTAAATTAACACTAGAGAGTGTCTATATGGGTCCACACCTCTGAGTGTTAAATACACACTAAAGACAGTGTTATATGTTTAAAAGTAACCTAGTCAGTTTTGAAGATTAACAATGGCTAACACTGAGCAGTGCTGATTTTCTAACACTGGAAAATAACTCAAAATGTTAGAAATATTCCAGTGTTAGAAAATCAGCACTGCTCAGTGTTAGCCATTGTTAATCTTCAAAACTGACTAGGTTACTTTTAAACATATAACACTGTCAAAAGTGTTAATTTAACACTCAACAGTGTTGTATTTAACACTCAGAGGTGTGGACCCATATAGACACTCTCTAGTGTTAATTTAACACTGGAGATTTTGCTGTGAAGATGCGAAATACGTCTTGTGCGGACTGGTTAATGTTGTTAGCTCTTCCATCTTATCGGACAGAGATCTTAGATTTCTCGTAATGACATATGATATGGAAGGTTTTCCCAGGACTTCACTCTAGCTCTGCAGCCTGTCTTTCTTCTCCTTACTTTCATGTGGAGCTCCAGAATATAAAACAGTAGTTACTGTGTCAATGGAGCCATTGCTGAATGGCTCCTTCCATAATCAGATTTGGGTAAGTGGAAATATAGCAAGTAAGTTACTGAAGCTTAAATGTTTTAATACATCAACTGCTGGAGATAAAAGGTTTTTAAGAATTCTCCTCAACCTCTGATGCTTGATATGGAAGGACCACATCAGTGCTGATCAGTTCAGCACTGGAGCACCAGATGTTAAAGTATGGTTCAGGATTCAGTTTAGGGATTTTGCAGCCTGCAGATGCAGCCTCTGCGAAGATTGAATCTGCAGTGTACCGTATTTCCTTTTTACAATGTGCTCCTCCACTACATGCTTCACTCTGATGGACTGAGATCACGTGTATTGCTGGAGCGATCTGAACTTCACCAAGTGATTTAAGTGGTACTTTCTGGGAGTCAACTCTAACACGGGATTTAGTGGGGTGGGTCTCAGTTAAATCAGGTAGTAACTCAGCTGTGGAAGGCAAAAAATTTGTGGATGACTCACTGATTTGGGCCATAATGTCCTTGAGAACATAATCCCTGCCAATTACCTTAGCTAGGTTTTTAAGTTTAGGGAGGTTGGAATGGGTACTACTATATCAACTGCCTGTCTATGCAGTTTAGAGGTTTGCTCATCTACTAATATGATCCTATTAGTGGAGCGAAACCTTTTAAGAAAATCTGTAATTTCTCCCACTTTCTTATCATCTATAGCAGGGGTGCCCAATCCCGGTCCTCGAGAGCTACTATCCTGCAGCTTTTAGATGCATCCCTACTCCAACACAGCTGAATCAAATGGTTTGATTACCTCTTCAGCATGCCATCATGTTTGGCAAAGGCCTGATAACAAGCCATTCATTTGATTCAGGTGTGTGGGAACAAGGATGCATCTAAAAGCTGCAGGACGTTAGCTCTCGAGGACCGGGATTGGGCACCCCTGATCTATAGCGATACCATTGATCATCACAGCATTAGAGATTTTAAATGGACAGTTGTTTTTTTTTTCAACAATATCCAACTTTTCTTGAGACTAATCTTCATCAGAGGGTGCAGTTTAGAACTGTAACAAATGTAACTCCCCCAGACCCTTTATTTGGTTACAAAACTTTGGACCTGTGTTTAGCTTTGTTTAGGTGATAAAGCGTGTGAGATTGCAGGGAAATAGCTTGAGGCTATGTGTTTTAAACACTCACTTTGTCTGACAATACAGGAGTACAATGAACAAAAGGTTGCAGTTACTATGTTAGCAGAAAATGAAATCCACAGAGAAGTCTGACATGAATAATAGACTGCACCAATGATAAGTATAGGGACGAATAAACAGACATCAGCCTTTGGCCATTTTGGATGATGAACACGCCCCAAGAGAGAGCAACTTTAATGACAGCCACCAAATATATACATGTGCATCACGTGTCAAACAAAACACATCCCATTGGCCGTTTCCATAATTTGAGATCATTTGCTTTCTTTCATGTCAACATACTATACGTTGAAATGAAACACTGCCATTATTAGTATACTTTTCATACTTTGGAATATAAATACATTTGCTTTACCAAACTTCTTATGAGGCAGTTAGTGCACACAACACTTCATACATAACCATAAACAGTGACAATATTTTTTTTCTCTTTAAAAAATAGCTTTGCAGGCACAAATATTATATTAGTACAAAAATACCCAATTAAATACAAATCAAGCATAGCTACAGCTTACACTTTAGATCCAAGTTTCCTGTGTAAATTAAGAAATATATTTCCCTCCACAAAAAGTAATAAAAATACACGTCTACAAGTTGCACCAGGCAAAAGCATACCTACTTTAGCATCACGCAGTTTAGAAAAATTTTTATTCACTCAGAGTTGGAAAGATTTGTCTTGACAGGCTAAGCTAGGTGTACCAAAAAAGCCCAGTCGGCAGGCAACGCAGGTGTTTGCAAAATGCAATCAGGCACCACATGACACCACAAACTATGTTTCTTTCCGTAACGCAATCATAAATCCTAACATCCAAATGAGAGAAAAAAGAAAAAGAAATGTCCACATTACAGTCTCCTTCACATACATTTGGGCTTTGCTTTTCCTTGTTTTTAAAATGAAGGAAGATTTGACAATAGGTCAGCTGTTAAAATTTTGATGAGCATTTTGGCAAAGATTGCCCAAGGCAGTCATGGAAGTACATCATTTTGAGCAGTCCTGAGTCCTCTGTTAAGGCTGTTCCTGCTTTGGTGGGCTTGGAGGCTCCTTATTTTTTAAGCAACAAAAACAATTAATGATATTACAACATCAGGAAACTTTTAACCAGGAGGAACAAATTAAAGGGCAAGAACTAGAGCGTGAAAAGGCACAATTTTAAAACATTACTGCAATTTTTTCTTAAAAATTAAATTAAATTATTATTTTTTTAAAACAACGTTTACAATGCTACGGAAAAAGTTCAGAAACTTTGACAGACTTAGGGTGGTGCTACAGTAAGATGGAAGTGTAGAGGTGAGCTCATCATAATTGGTATTGGGAAAATACCATCTATTAATATAAATTGCACTGAATCAGTCTCAACTCGAGTATGAAGGGAGGAAAGTCACAAAGGTATGGAGCCCTGAGAGGCCAAACGGACTGCTACTTAACAAAACACCAGCAAAAAGAAAAATTCTGCAGAAGCACACAAAACATTATGAAAATACGAAAAACAAAAATAGAAAAAAAGAAGACAGAAATAGAAAAAAAACAGAAACAGGAAAAAACAGATTTCCAAAAGCACAAGGGAAGTGTTTCTGGGGAGA